AGACAGCAAGTCCCAGATACCCATCGCCATAAAACAAAAAAATTCTCAAATCCCCTCTAAATCTCCTGCCCTTTATCTTAAGTCTATGCCTCAGGTTAGTGATATCTCTACAAAGAGGAAATGTTTCACCTTATCTACCCTATTCATGCCCTTTATAGTTTCAAACACATCTAGTCTCTTTTCATAGCTGAAATGCTCCAGCCAAATCAACATCCAAGTGAATCTCTTCTGCACCCTCTCCAGTGCAATCACTTCCTTCTACGATGCGGCAACTAGAATGCAGAGTTTTCCAGCTGCAGCCTAACATTTTATAAATCTCGATCATAACCTCTCTGTTATTGTATTCAGCACTTCGACTAACAAAGGCGAGTATCCTATATGCCTTCTTAACAACACTATCCACCTGTCCTATTGCCTTCAGTACCTGTAGACGTGCATTGTTAGGTCTCTCTGATCCTCTGTACTTCTTAGGGTCCTACCATTCATCAGTCTTGCCGAAATGCATCAACTCATGCTTTACATAATTAAATTCCATTTACCATTGTTCTGTCCATCTATAAAAGACATAGGAAATAGAAATAATAGGCCATTCAACTCCTCAAGCCTGCCCCACCATTCAACAAGGTCATGATTGGTCTGCCTCAGGCCTCAACTTCTCTTTTATGCCAGTTCAGCATTTCTGTCAACTTGATATAAAAAAATCTACCTACCTCCTCTTTGAATTCTTTCAGTGATCTAGCGTCCACAACTCTCTGGGGTAGAGAATTCCAGACATTCACTACCCTCAGGGAGAAGAAATTCCGTTGGATCTCATTTAAAACTGAGTGTCGTCTTATTCTGTAACTATGTTTCCAGTTCAAGATTTTCCCCCACTAGTGGAAACATCTTGTTAACTTCGATCCTGTCAAACCCCTCAGAAACTTGTAAACGTCCATAAAATCATCCCTCATTCTTCTAAACTCTCATGAAAAAAGCCTAATCTGTCTAGCTGTTAATACGTCACCTGCTCATCCCAGGAATCAGCCTAGCGAATCTCTTTTGAATAATCTCCAATGTCAATATATCCCTTCTTAAATATGCGGATCAATACTGCACACAGTACAAGTGCTGCCTCACCAAAACCCTGTATAGTTGTAACATGATTTCCCAGATTTTAATCTCCAACCTCCTAGCAATAAAGGCCAAAATCCTAATTACATACTACATCTACATGCTACCTTGTGTTTCATGGACAAGAACAGCCAGATCCCTCTGCATTGCACATTATTTGGAGTCTCTCTCCATCTAAATAACAGTTCGTCTTTTGATTCTTTCTATTGAAGTTTGCACGATCTCTCACTTTCCAACATTAAACTCCATCTGTCAAGTTTTGCCCACTCACCCAACCCATCAATATCCCCTTGCAGATTCCTTAAGTTGCCACCATAACATGCCCTCCCACCTATTTTTACATCAGCAGCAAATCTGGATACATTACACTCTGCTCTCTCCTTAAAGTCATTAATTATATTACAATAGAGGCTTTAGGACAGATCCATGCAGCACTACAAATTGTGTTGTGTTCTAAGGCTTTCCTTTTCGCTATTTAACACCAAATGCAAACTTTCTCAACAAGCCTTCTACATTCACATCTAGATCATGAGCATACAACAAACAGCAAGGGACCCAGGATTGAACCCTGTAGTACACTACTGGGCATGCATTCCAGTCATTAAAAAAAAACCTTCAACCATCAGCCAACTTTAGATGCAATTTAGACTACATCCACTGCAATACCCTTAGCCACGCATCTGGTCACCCCCTTGAAAAACTCAAACAAAAAAAAAAAACAGAAATTGCTGGAGAAACTGAGCAGATCCAGTAACACCCGTGGAAAGGAAACAATTGAGGAAGGGTCACTGAACTCTGTTTTCTCTCCACAGTTGCTGCCAGACCTGGCGAATCTCCCCAGAAACTTCTGTTGTTTGTTTGTTTCAGATGTCCAGCAACCACAGTTCTTTGTTTTCCCAGGCACAATCTCCCCCTGACAAATCCATGCTGACTATCTCTGATTAATACTTGCCAAAGAACCCAACATATCAGTGCAAAAGATGAGGTTGAAGCATTCGCAGCAATCTTCAGCGACAAGAGTTGCTTGGATGATCCATTGCAACCTCCTCCAGTTGTCCCCAGCATTACGGATACCAGACTTCAGTTAATTTGATTCACTCCACATGATATCAAGAAATAGTTGGAGGCACTGGATAGCACAAAGGCTATGGGCCCTGACAACATTCTGGCAATGGTACTGAAGGCTTGTGCTCTAGAACTTGCTGCTCCCCTAGCCAAGCTCTTCCAATACAGTTACAACACTGGCATCTAACCGACAATGTGGAAAATCGTCCAGGTACGTCCTGTATACAAAAAGCAGGACAAACCAACCCGGCCAACTACCGCCCCATCAGTCTACTCTCAATCATCAGTAAAGTGATGGTAGATGTCATCAAACAGCACTTGCTCAGCAACATTCAGTTTAGGTTCCACCAGGGCCATTCAATTCCTGACCTCATTACAGCTTTGGTTCAAACTGAAATAACTCCAGAGACTGGTATCCCATCACCAAGTCACCTTTTCTTTACATGTGGAAAGTCATTGACACTGGTCCACCTCAGAGTGTCCGCATCTCTCACACTGCTCTTTTTTATCTAGGGCTCCTTGATTGGACCAGATTATCAGCCCCAATCAGTGAACTCAATCCATGAGGTCTACCTGGCTGACCTCTTTACAACCACTACATCCCTCCCACTGAGTCCAAGGACGTAGGCTGGTCCTTTCTCTTGGAGAGTGTCCTGTGGTGTTTTAGCACCGTGTCAGGTTTCTCCAACCTTGTGTGGGATACGGGTAGCGTGTAACAGACAGGAGCTCGCCTCGTGTCCAGTGTGTTGCGGGAGAAATTCACTCTTCTTTAGGCGGCAAAGGCATTGGTGCAGCGAGACCCGTCCTGTCCATCTCAGATTCAGAGGTGTCTTCAATGCTTGATTGAGGGAGATCCCACAGGTTCTGACAGCCTTTCCGATTGTTCGGAGTAGCAGGGCACATTTTGCTCCTGCACAGTTTGCTAGCTCGCAGCTTTCATACAGTACACACGCTTGTTCAGGAGTGTCACTCCTACTCGAACTTTACACATCACTGGTCCTGACCTTGCGTCGACCAAGACTCTGGCCAGTTATCTGTGGCCAACACTGCCGGGTGTCCATGTATTGCAAAACATGCGCAGAATTTTTCTAACGTTATTCCGGTGCTTGACGAATAAACTCTACGCACGTCCGACTGCTTTGGCTGGGCATCCACAATGACTAAGAATATTGAGCCCATGAAAGGACCGGCATAGTCGACACGTAACCGAGTCCAGATGTGATTTGACAGGTGTTCAAAAAAATTTGAAACCATTATGGACTCTTCCAGTGACGGTACCACCAGTGGTGTATCTGCCAGCAGGAGGTGGCTCAATGCATCCGTATTTGCTACTTGGCTGTCCGGATGGAGTTCTGGCTTGTAATTATACAAACTTAATATCAGAGCCCACTGCTGAATTCGGCCTGAAGCTTTTGGCAGCATTGCCTTGTCCTCTTTAAGTAGACCTAGTAAGGGTTTGTGGTCCGTTATTACAAATTTACGTCCTTTAAAGGTTTCAGCGGAACTTCCTGACTCCAAGTGTAACCACCAAATCTTCCTTCTCTATCTAGGCATATTTACGCTCTGCATTAGCCAAAGACCAGGATGCATACGCTATTGGACATTCCTCTCCATTGGGCTGTCTATCTGCTAATACTACCTTGATACTGTACGGGTGGGGGGGCATTGCATGTCAATACCAGATCTCACTTGGGATCACAGTGTGCCAACACCTTAGAGGACAATAGCTGTTCTTCACTTCCTTGAAAGAGGTGGCTTGGCTTTACACAATTTATAGAATCCCTACAGTGTGGAAACAGGCCATTTGGCCCAACATGTCCACACCAACTCTCCAGAAAGCATCCCAGCCAGACTCATCCCCCTACCCTATCCCTGTAACCCTGCATTTCTCACGGCTAATCCACCTAACCTACACATCCCTCGACATTATGGGCAATTTAGCATGGCGAGTCCACCTAACCTGTACATCTATGGACTGTGGGAGGAAACTGGAGCACCCGGGAGAAACCAATGCAGACACAGGGAGAATGTGCAAACTCCAGACAGACAGTCGCCCAAGGCTGGAATTGAACCCAGATCCCTGGCGATGTGAAGCAGCAGAGCTACAACAATTTCCAAGGTTGACAATTTTTTTAGAAGTTGATGCAAAGGTACCAGGATGGAAGCCAGGTTAGGTATTAACTTTCCGTAATAATTTACCAGCCCAAGGAAAGACCTAAGCTTCGGTACAGACGAGAGCCAGGGCACCTTTGTCTGCAAGCAAAAAAGTAATCTCTGACATTGTAGCACTCCCTCACCCTGCACTGGCGTGTAAGCATAGATTTTTTATGCATAAACGCTGGAGTGGGAATTGAATCCAGACACCTGGAGTGCTACACACTGAACAACAGCTGACACTCTGCTCTGAACAGAGGGTAGAAAAGTCTATTTTCACCACAAACATTATTGCAGCCTATTTTTGGATTATTAGAATTATAATGAATTCTAACTCAATGTTCCAGCTCCCAACTGATTTCAAATTTCACTCTCACTTTCCACTGTCCATAATGCATTGTCACTTGTATTCTTCTTTCCCTTCCAAGCTTATGAAATTGTAGAATCAGTTTATAGAATTCACCCCTTAATCCTATTGCAAAGAAGCCCTTTTCATCATCCTAAACCCGTGACATTAAATAGACTATTTGAAAAAAATATTACAAAATAATCTTCAAAATCAAGAGACAAACCTATTGCAAATTGAAGATACGTTCAGAATGGGGCATTCAGGTCGCAGAAAAGCAAAATAATACGCAATAAATGCACGTATGTTATTGATCTTTACTCACCCTTTTGATTTTGCTTTTTAGCCATCCCCGCTTTCTTTTTGCAAAAAAAAGTTTTAGGTGGGTAGCTACTGAGTTCGACTTGATAAACGGGACTCGGTAATCAACGTCGTCACTCCTCCAAGCAGATGTAGTTCGCGTTAAAGATCCTCACCTCTCAGCAGTGTTCTTGGGACGTCCTGCAATCCCTACAAATTGATAACAATAAATCAGATTATTTTTGTTCTGCTTATTGCAGACTATAAGAAATGTAACAGAATAAGTGATCGCTCCCCCGTCTTCCGTTTCCTTGCTAAGACTTCAAAATTCACGAAGAAGTCAGAGACGCAACAACCTTTTAAAGAAAAATCTGGATTTATTAATCTAATTACAGAAAACGGCGTATTTGACTGGAGATTGGGGGGGGCGGGTTCGCAAGCCTTTCTTTGTGGGGATGATTCTACAGAGGGGCCCAGTGATCAGTCAGCACTTTGGGTCTTTTTGTCTCAGAATTCCCTCCCAACGCAACAAATAAAGCTTGCAGTCAGTGATCAGGCTTCCCTCCTTTGTCTGCAGTTGCTTGTTTCTATTTTTCAAACTGGAGCGATCAAATAATAAACATCAATAAATCCTTTGTCCTTTCTTTCTCTCAATTCCTCCCTCCCCCCGCTCCCGACTCTGCTGAACTAAAACAGCCAGGTGGTCAGTCTGATCTCAACAGGACTGGTCTTGCAATCTCAGAGAAGCTGATCAACCCGAGCTTTCCTGTGAAACTCGCTTCGCAATTTTCCCTCCCACGTCTTCCCCACCTGGTGATTTTCGAATACTTTAGGCTAAAGAAGCAGTATTAAAGAGTTATTTTAATAAGTACTCTAAAGATAGGTCAGAGGTGAACCTCCTTCAGGAAAAACGACCACAGTAACACTTCTCGGACTCAGACTCGCAACAAAACTCTCAACAACTCGGCTCCGCCGCTCACTCCCAACACGTCACTTCCGGCCGGGCAGACGGCTCACCGACGGAAAAACACGAGTATCTCCGAAAGCAAATTCGGCAACTGAGCGGGACCGAGTGAATTAAAA